CTGCCCCTCCTCCTCCTCCTCCTCCTCCTGCTCCTCCTCCTCCTCCTCCTCCTCCTCCTCCTCCTCCTCCTAGCCTTCCCCGCCGCAGGGTTCTCCACAAGGCCAGAGGACTTCTGAGAAGCCCCGCGGCCCTCTGAGAGGGCCTGGCCCTCTCTCACTCCCCCCCCTTGGCCTGAAGTTGTCGATCGCCGCAGCCAGGTTCGGCTCGGAAAGCTGGCCTGGACATGAATCCTGAGGTGGGAGAGGGGTGCGGGGACACATTGTGATCTGATTCGAGGGAGCCGATCAACAGTGCGCCATGGAAAATCCCGACGGCCGTTATTCTTGGTATTCGCGTCCCCTGCGCTTGCCAGTTCCCGATGCCGCACAAAAAAAACAAGCTGGCCGAGGAGGGAGGGGAGACCTCCAGGACCTGGGCTCACAGAGCGAAATAAATCACGACGTCGGAGGTCTGGGTCCCGAGATCCTCGGAGCATCCCAGGGACCTCCTAGAGGTGAAAAGAAACATCGGGTTCAAATCGACGCGACGTTGGGCACCAGATGGCAAAAAATGAACGCTGTGCCTGGACGGGGCACCCAAGCCCCGATGGACGATGAATGGGCAGTTCAGTCATCAGGAGTCGATTTCCCCCTCGATCGGCGATGAATGGAGGTCGCAAGATCGCGCCGCAGCGCCGCATCGCGAGAAAGCGGGCTCCTGATCGAGACCACATCGCAGATGCATCGGCGGCAGTGGGATGGAGAACATCGGGCTCAAAATCGGGCCCTCTTTGCCAGTGCATCGGAGATGCAGTGCCATCCTCCCATCTGCTCTGGCCCCACTGGGGCGGCCAGGGGAGAGAGATGGAGCGGTTGGGGCCAGCGAAACAGAAAAGGCTCAAACCCATACCACGGACCTGGACCGGGAGGAACCACCTGCATAGCACCACAACCACGCGTGCCCTGGGCCATCGTGGGCTCCACGATGGTACAGCTTACCATGAGATCCGACGTCACGAAACAAAATGCAGCATCGCAAAACTCACGTCCGAGCACCGAATGCCATCCTTTTGCCGCACCTCTCGGGCTGGGCCGATCCCAGCGAAAACGCCCAGTGCGAAACAACATGCGACACCCAGAAGCTACGGCATGCAGGATCGCACAGGGACCAGCACGGCCAGGCATGGGGGGGGGGGGGCGAGCAGCCAAGAAACACCACTATAGATGCCTCCTAGACGGGATCGGAGCAGATGGGGTCGGAGGATCGCGCCGCATCCCCGATAGTTACATCGGCGATGCATCGGCGATGCATCGGTGATGCATCGGCGATGCATCGTCGACGTCGGCGATGCATCGGCGACGTCGACGTGAAAGCAAATCGGGCCCCACATCGAGCCGCATCGGCGATGCATCGGAGATGCGGCGCGATCCTTCGACCCCATCTACTCCGACCCCATCCAGGAGGCCTGGACATTCGGAGTCCCTTCCGGACCTTATCTGTGTCCTACCTCAGACCCTGCGCTGTTTGCTCGTCCTTCGCACTTTGCTCGCTCAAGCACAGTCGCGTCTCCGGCACCTCCTGGCAGGGAAAGTCGGCACCAGGCCGATGACCAGAGAAACGTATGAGAAAGATGTACCTCTCGACACGCCTCAAAAGCTCTCGGAGTCTCCTCCGACGACGCATACAAACCAGAGCACGTGTATTCCCTTCGCTTGGCGGCCATGGCTGAGCAAAACCCTGCGCTGCATGGCGGCCTCCTGCGGACCGGGAGGCCTGCACGACCCGCGGAGCCCTATCGGCGCCGCCGCCCCGCACCCTGCCGGGGCGGCCCGGGACCCGGTGCCGCCGCAGCTCCCCGGCGTCGGGCCCGCCAGAGGTAAAACAACGCGAAGATCGGGACAAAATCGGATCGGGATAACTCGAAATCTCTGAGAATCGGCGGGTTTGGAGGATGTATTGGGCGCCGCGGCCGCTCCAGAGCGTTCCGGAACGCTCCGAGAGCGCTCCGGAACGCTCTGGAGCGATTTATCCCGATCCTAGCCCTGTTTTAAGAGGGCCCCCCCCGGAAAACGTTCCCGTGGAGCCCTCGGCGGAGCGCTGCCAGGAAGACGAGGCCAGGACCGGGACAAGATTGGACTGGGACCCATGAGCCTGTTTCTGTGAAGGAGCCGAACTCTCTATCCACCGACGCCTCTGCCTGGCCTCACACCGAATCTCGCACAGGAAAGCGGATCCGGGTGTATACGGGATCCTGGTGTATACGTTCTTCGTTGTTTCCCAGAGAAAACGGGGAAACAAGTATACACCACACCACCCCGACGTCGTCCCCGACCCTCAAACAAGTCCTGGGATTGAAAACCGCCCTCCACTGGTAATGTAGATGCTCCAGTGCCCTATTTGTTTAGAGCAAGTTTACTTGCATGGCGTTCGCGACCCCCCCCCCGTCGCCCCTCATCGATCGAATGCGAGCGTGCAAGTGCCGTTTCGACTTGCGTGATCTCCGCACGTCAAGTCGTTTGCGGCCTGCTTCAGGTTCAGCCCCCCCCCGTCCATGCAAATAAACTTGCCAGTCTTTTTTTTCAATATATATATATATATATACATATATATATATATATATATATATTAAAGGACCCATCGGGGATATCTCTGAGAACCGACGGTCCTGGAGGAAAAATCAGAGCGCCGCGGCCGCTCCAGGGCGCTCGAGGAACGCTCCCAGAGCACTCGGCAACCCAACCTCTGGGTCCGCCCTATCGTCGGCGGGGCCCCAAAGCCGGGGAAGGCAACAGGTACCGATACCGCAACTCCCAGGACCTCTCCTGGGGTGCGTTCTGACCAAAATTTCTAAGCGAATCCAACAGTGGCAACGAGGGCCTCCGAGGAGGCACAAAAAGGGGACAACGGGCGAAGGCCAGGCCGGAGCTGGCTCGATTCGCGAATCGCGAACACCCGCGCCCCCGCGATGCACCACGCAGGGCCTGCCTCCGCGCCGTCGCGCTCTCGCGCCGCCCCCTCGCAGGGCAGCCGCTCTGGGCCAAACGGCGACGCGCGCAGCGCGATGGTCTTCTTCTGCCCTCGCGCTACCTTGGCTGCTAATCCTGGGGGCCCCCCTGGAGCCACTCGCTCCACTCGTGCGTCGAAGATGCGTCGAGCGTCTGTCGATCCGAGTCGACCTCGATTCGAACCTGAGTCGAACCTGAGTCGAACTTGAATCAAGCTTGCGTCGAACTAGGGCTGAGCAGATCCGGCAGGTGGGCCCCAGGAAGGTCCCCCAAGCGAGCATCCAAGTTACCTGCGTAGACAATCGAATCGGACCTCGGAACTGGATCGGATCGCGTCTGAATCGGCGCTCAGTCGCGCCCCAGAGCGGGAGCAGACTGGCTTGGGATCGCGGGTCGGGGCTCGGCCGTTGCAGGCTGGGGATCCGGAATCGGTTCGAGGCGGGCCAGATCCGATCGGACTGAATCGGGTCGAGGTCGGGATCGAAGCCTGGGGATCGGACCAGATCGGATCACATCATGCGCAGCCCTGACTGCTCCCCTTACCCCCGTCGCGTCGTGAGGAGATCCCAAAGGGGGGTATCTGGGTCCCCTATCCTATCCTTCAGCTGCACGCAAGTGCGAGGAAGGGGGGCGGGAGGGAAGAGGAAGAAAGGAGAAATGAAGGAGCACAGAGGAGAGACGAGAAGGAGGAGAAGGAGGAGGAGGAGAAGGAGGAGAAGGAGGAGGAGGAGGAGAAGGAGGAGGAGGAGGAGAAGGAGGAGGAGGAAGGAGGCAAGAGGGAGGATGCAAGAGGAGAAAGGTGAGGGAAGGAAGGAGAACAGTTGGTTAAGGAGGTAGGTGGTGGAGGGCGGAGGCACAAACAGAGGAAGGAGGACGAGGAAGGAGGAAGGGAGGAGGGGAGGAGCGATCTCCAATCGAACCCGCCGTGACCGCGATCGGAGCTCCTGCGCGCCGCGCACCGCGCGCGCAGCGCCGCGCGCGCGCGCCTGCAGGGTCTCGCGCAGCGCCGCGAGCTCCACGTCGAGCCGCCGCTGGTCCTCGCCGCCGCCGTGACCGCCGCAGTGGCCGTCGATGACTACGAGGCGGGGGGGTCCATGACCACCGCTCCCGGGGACCCATCTTCGGGGACCTCTCGGCAGGCGGCGGACGTGTCCGGATTCGGCCCCGCCGCGGCCCGAACACATGAACGTCCACCGCCCGCCGAGGCCCCCGAAGATCGATACCCCAGGGGATGGCGGTTGAAATATCCCCACCTCGGGGATGTTGTCGTCGCCGTCGTCGTCGTCGCCGTCGTCATCGAGGTCGTCGTGGTGATCGTCGTCGTCGTCGTCGTCGTCGAGGTCGTCGTCGTCGTCGTCGCCGTCGCCGTCGATGTCGCCGTCGTCGTCATCGAGGTCTGAGTCGTGGTGATCATCGTGGTCGTGGTGGCCGTCGTGGTCGTGATCGTCAAAGTCGTAGTCGTCGTCGCCGCCGCCGTCGTCAACGACGTCGTCGTGGTCGTGATCGTCGTCGCCGCCGTCGTCGCCGCCAGGCTCTGGGTCCCAGGGGTTCCCCCTGGACTGGCCACTCACCCCAAACATTGTTTGACGAACAGGGGGCCCAGGGAGGGCCCTGGGAGGGCCCCGATGGCGAAACGACCTCGGGACCTCCCACCTCCAGGACCCTTCCTCCGGGTGCGCCGCCAGAGGGGGCCAGGAAGACCGAGGGATCTTGGGGCGTCGAGGCCCGAGGCCCCGCGCGCGGACGGCGGGGTGTCAGGGGACGCTTTGAGAGGAGAGGAGGGGGTCATGAAATCCTGGAGGTGTCGTGGCTTCTTCGACGCCTCCGGCTCTTCCTCATGGCGACGCTCACTTGCGCCCTCCCCTGCGGCTGCCCCCCCCCCGCCCTGCTGCGCTGCTCGATCGCACAGCCGCCTCGGCCAACACACTGCATACTGCCCCTTGGCGTGGACCTCGCGATCGGAACGCGCCGCGGGCGCACTGCCGCAGGCCAGGACACCTTTTCTTCACACAGCCCTAAGCCACGAAGGTGCCCACAGCAGGAGACCAGAGCACTGCAAAGCCATGAACTTTCGAATGCCCGCGCGGACATCGTGGGTCGGCGCTGGGACCATTGTTGCGGGTCCCAGAACGGTGCGGTGACAAATCGTACCGTGCCCTCCGAATCCCAAGAAACCTCACCGCACGGCCCGTCACCGCAAGGTTTTGGGACTATGGAGGCCCTGGTTGTCCGAGACGTCCTCGGAGAACGACCCAGGCCCCGAGACCGTGCAGCCACCCCGAACACCCACCGACTCGCCACACGGTGTGGCCACCGCACTGCGTGGGAGCCCCTGCACTTCTGGGGGGTCCGGGGGCCCCCGGGATTGGCCAGGAAGGCCCCCCGGGCACGACATGCCTCCGAGTGAGGCGCCCGTGGCCACGGCCCCGACCGCGACACGCGCCACCCCGAGCCGGGCACAGGACGCCGAGGTGCACCTGCGCCACGCACGGTCTGGCGTGGACCTTCGGAGCCTCAGGGGGCCCCGTCCCCGCAGCCCTCTCGAAGGGGCCCTGGGGCACACATGGTTTCATGCATGTTCTGGGTTTGTGTCTTCCCCCCCACACTTCCCGTATTTTCGCATCTTTTCCTGGGGATCGACGATTACTTGTGTCTCTGTGTGTGTGTGTGTGTGTGTTTTCCCACCGATCGCCCCCCCCCGCAGCAAAACGCCCGACGCAGCCCAAAACCTCGACGCGCCCGCGCTGCTGCGAGAGCGTGGCATGCGAGTGCCCGGAGCCCGCCTGGGCCCCCAGCCCTGGCTGAGACCACTGCGATGCTCCGAAGCGCCGACCGCAGCCCTGTCGGTCCGAGCGGCGTCGGCCAACCTTTCGGCCCGCTCAACCGACCAGCCATAACTGGGGGAGCTGTGGTCATGATCCCCCTGGGGGAACCCATCGCATCGACGATCTCTCGAGAGGGGTGTCGAAATCGATGGGTCCCCCGGGGGGGTAAGGACCACAGCTCCCCCGATTGTGGCTGGCCTGCGATGGGGGCACGCTGGCCTCCCGTTGGCCCCCCGTGGCGCCACACCCGTGGGAGGCGCTTTCAGGGGGCCCAGCGGAGGAGGTCCGCGAGCGGGCATCGTTGACCGGATCCCTGTCCCACGCCCCCCCGGCCGATTGCGTGAGCGCCCCGGCTTGGGGCACATGCAGCTTCCTGCGGGCTTTGCGGGGCCTATCCCCACCGGGGGGGAGGCTGGCTGAGATGCCACTGCCAGACGGGGAGTGGGACTGGTCAGACGATGCCGAGGGGAGGATGGGCCCGGCGGAGGAGGTCTGCGAGGGCCTTCGAAAGCTTCGTTGCTCATGTGCAGTCTTCTTGGCCTCGGGCTCGAGTGAAGCAACTGCCCTGCGCCATGGCGTCGGAGGCCCAGGGCGAGCTCGGCACAGGCAACCGGCATCGGCGGACGCCTCCACCGAGGGAGCACGGCTCCCTCCGCTCTCGCCGTGATGGCGGGCGCGCCCAGGCCCCTGCACGGTCAGGAGCGGTTGCTCAGCGCGTCGCTGCGGCGGCCTCGCCGACGCGCCATGCCCTGCAAGCGGACAGCGTGTCGCTCCGCGGCGCGCGGCGGGAGGCCGAGGAAGGCTCGGAACGTTGACGCTCGTGGAGTGGGCAGTGGTTAGCTCGTCGCGCCGAAGCGTGGTGGGCCAGAACTGGCGGCGCGGCACGTGAAGCAAAACACTGCTGACCGTAAGTGGCCCAAGCTGCGTAGCCGACGCCAAGATCGAGGACGACCTTCCCCTGGCTGAGGCGACCACTCACACTTGTGCTCTTGCCGACACCTCTTCGCATGTATAGACATATGCTGTACATTTTAACACACGTACACATATACTAGAACCATCGCGCGCGCTCAAGTTCTAGTTAGGCTTGATAGGTTTACTCATGTAATATCATGTTGGTCGCATCTTGCGTCCAGGGACTGGGGACTCCCTTGGAGGCCCTGCGCAAGCCTCGGAATCGCATAGAAGGGGAAGTGCGGAAACGCAGAAACCATTAATTCCCTGTAGATAATCATCGATGTGGGACCCTCAAAGGCTTCCTGGGTTCTTTTTGGGAAGTGAGGGGGGTTCTGAATTGTGGTCTGGTGTGCAAGAATAGACCGGGGGCAAAACTTGGAGAAAAAAGAGTTGTGGGATTTCAATGTTTTTCCAATTCCTCGGCGCTGTTCGGCGCTGCTTCTTGGTTGTGCCTCGCGGGTCCGGGCCCCTCATGGGTGTGGAATCTTCCGGACCCCCTGGAGCCGGGGACGCCTCTCGGACCTCTCTTGGGGTCTCTTCGAGGCCACCTAGGAGCCTCGAGAGCCGTCGGAAGGCTGATTTGGGCTGCTTGGGAGCGTCTTGGGCCATCCTTTCGCATTCTGGGGGCTCCTGGGCGGCGTCTTGGGCCCTCCTGGAGTGCTGTGAGGCCCCCCGAGAAGGCTGGGGGAGCGGTACCGGGAGCGTTCCAGAGATGTTCCGGGGAGGTGTGGGACCCGGGGCTGGGGGTGGGCGGCACTTCTATATTATATTTTACTGTACTGTACTGTACTGTACTATACTATACTATACACTATTCTATATTATAATATAGCAAATATCAGGTATCATATCTATATATAGATATACACATATTTGTGTATATATATATATATAGAGACAGAGATATAGATAGAGCGAGATATGCCACCAAAGTGCCTGGCCAGGGCCGTCGTTGGCCCTAGCATAGTGATGTACAGAATCGCAGGCCCAGGATCGCTCTGGGCACTGGCCAGGCACGGTGGTGTACAGATGCCTTTCGCAGGTCTTAGGCCTCCGACATCAGGTGGGCGCCAACAAGCTTGACACCTACGCGAGCCCGCGTTTTCATCTAAGGCCGCGCACGTCTTGGCGCAGCCTTCAAATAACATCCGGAGCATCCGCGCAGAGGACGAAAGTACAATCATGGGACAATGGGTTCCGATCAAATCCCCGGCTACATCGGCCTCCTCCCCATCCTCCTCGTCATCCGCGAGACGTGTTATCCTAAGGTTACTGCGCTGTGGTGTGCATTGCACAAACTGCAGCCGCCAGGAGTCACAGGAGATGTCTCCTTTTCGTCCGCCAGACTGCTGCAGAGGGTATCCTGGCGAGCTTGTACAAATCGTACGACGTCGTTTGCGCCTTCAATACGTAAGCCCTGCGCGAAAAACAGGAACACGTGAGATCGGATGATCCATACGAATGGGAACGACTGCAGGTGGATTCGCCACCGAACCTTCTTCGCATCCTGCAAAATCCACATTGATTTCCACTCGCCATTTGCAGCATTCCTCCTCCTCCTCCTCCTCCTCCTCCTCCTCCTCCTCCTCCTCCTCCTCCTCCTCCTCCTCCTCCTCATCGTTGGCAGCATCCTCCTGTATCCTCGATCCCACTCCCTGTTCTTCCTCCTCCGTTACATCCCCCGCCTCATCCTCTCACCGCTGTCCAACATTATGCCAGCTCTTCCTCCTCCTCGTCCTCCTCCTCATCAGCCTCCCCCACCCCCATCGGTTCCTCCTCCTGCCCCTCCTCTCCCTTACTTTTACCTTCCGCGCTCCCTGCCCCTCCTCCCCCCTCTCGTCGCCTCCTGGCCCCTGCTTCGCTCCCTTTCCTCCTCCTCCTCCTCGGTCCTTCTTCTCTTCTCTTCCTCCTCCTCCTCCTATCCTTGTTCTTTGTTATATACCCCCACCTACATCGTATTCCGGCCGATTGCAATCCAATCCGGGACCTCCCATCCGAACTCTAAAAAATCAATACAAAGTGGCCGTTTTTCTTCTCAGCATCGTCTTTCTTGTCGTCGACGATGCGAAAAACGTGGCAGGAATGGGACGCGGCGCGCATCGCGCGCGGCAGTCAATCTGGGCCCGCCCATCCTGACTGTAAAAAATAAATTCAAAGTCTTCGTCTTTTCCTTTCAGCATGGCCTGCCTTGTCGCCGACGGTGCAAAATATGTGGCAGCAATGAATCGTGGCGCACATATGGGACGCGGCGCGCATCGCGCGCGGCCGTGAATCCGGGCCCGCCCATCCTGACTGTAAAAAACAATGCAAAATCTGCTTTTTCCTCTCAGCATGGCCTGCCTTGTCGCCGACGGTGTGAAATATGTTGCAGGAGTGGGACGCGGCGCGCATCGCGCGCGGACGTCCATGCGGGCCGCGGGCCCTCCCATCCTGAGTTTTTTTTTTTTTTTTTTTTTTTTTTTTTTTTTTTTTTTTTTTTTTTTTTTTTTTTTTTTTTATATAAAAAAAAAAAAAAAAAAAAACGTTTTCCTTTCATCATGGCCTGTCTTGTCGTCGACGATGCGAAATGCGTGGCAGGAATGGGGCGCGGCGCACATCGCGCGCGGACTTCTGGGGCAACCCCAAGGCGGGAGGGGCCACCTTACTTGTCAGAAGCAATGCCATGCTGATTTTCCCTGCCCACATAGCTGTTCTTGTCGTCCACCCCGCAAAAGTGCATGGCAAGAGTTGGGCGCGGCACACCCCCCTCCCCCCGCTCGAAGTGAATGAAATGACCTTCTCGCTTGGGCGCCGAGCGAAATTTTCTCAAAGTTGCGCTCCCGCTTTGGCTCGGCGCACGTTTTTAGCTCGCCAATTCATTGGGCGCCGGGGCGTTCCAGGAGGCCCTGGGGTGACGAATGCCTGGGAGGTTTTTGCTTGTTCAGGCTCTTGGAGGGCCTCCTGAGGCTCCCCGCGGTTTCTTGGCGCTACGGCCGTCTGGAGGCCATCTTGGGCGTCTTGGAACGATCTTTCGGCGACTCAGGGCTACTACTACTACTACTACTACTACTACTACTACTACTACTACTACTACTACTACTACTACTACTACTACTACTACTACTACTACTACTACTACTACTACTACTACTACTACTACTACTACTACTACTACTACTACTACTACTACTACTACTACTACTACTACTACTACTACTACTACTACTACTACTACTACTACTACTACTACTACTACTACTACTACTACTACTACTACTACTACTACTACTACTACTACTACTACTACTACTACTACTACTACTACTACTACTACTACTACTACTACTACTACTACTACTACTACTACTACTACTACTACTACTACTACTACTACTACTACTACTACTACTACTACTACTACTACTACTACTACTACTACTACTACGACTACGACTACCTACTACTACGACTACGACTACTACTACCACTACTACTACTACTACTACTACTACTACTACTACTCGGACACGTGCACCACATCACCACGGCTCAACCGCCTTGGGATGAGCGTCCTTGTGGCTGCCTCATTTCCAGTATATAGCGAGCACCTCTTCTGGGTGAAATGGCGGGTCTGACGTGCATGCATCGGCGGGCGCTTATCCGAGGGCAACTGGCCCCTACGGCTCCGAGTAAAGCGACAGCGGCGGCACAGCAGCACACAGGGCGACCCCAGTGCCGCCATCGAGGCCGACGCGGCGCAAGTAGGCGCGACGAGAGGTGAGGATGGCAAGCCAAAATGGCTAGGCGCACAGTTGACCGCGCGAAGAACGAAGAACTAAGCACCGGCGAAGGAAAGAGCCACCGACTTAAAAGACCAGCCGGCCTGAAAGATTAAAAACACCGGTCTGCTGCGACACCCGGTGTTTTTGGAGGGCGCTCGGATGGGATAAATATACCATCGGGCCCCCCAGCGTTCCAAAACTGCTACAGGCGCCGAGGCGGGGGCGAGCACTTCTGCCAATATGCTAAACAATCATGCACCGAACGCACCACAAGGGGGCGCCGGGGAGGAGGGGGAGGCGGGCAGCAGGCAGGCCACAAGGGGGGGAAGGGGCAGGGAGCACACACGTGTGGGAGGGAGCCACATCTAGTCAAGACCGGGCACTCGGGGCGACCCCGGCGCCCAGCCCGACTACGTCTTTCGTCGCCAGGGCGACCTGCTCAGCGATTTGGCCCTGCAGGGCGTTGGCCACTGCCGAGCGCAGGGACGAGCGCGCTGCGGGCCGCTCGGCCTCGGGCAATTCCCCTGCGGCGCGGCGCAGCCACGTCTCCGCCTCTGCGCCCCAGCGGCCATTGACATCGAGAACAAAAGGCACCAGGCCAGAAAAAAAGTATCTACGGTGCTTCACTTGTTTCTGCGCTGCAGGGGTGCCTGACGCGGCCACCCCGTCTGGGCCACGGCCACCTCGTCCACCAAGCTGATGTCGAGACGCACCCGGCCGTGGAGGCCTCGGTGGTAGACGACGTCCAGTGTGGCCGCGCCCTGTTCTTCCGTGCGCCACTCTGGGATGACCTGCCCCACCAGGGCGCGATGGCCCACCCCGCGCAACCAGAGCGCCACAGCATCTCGAATGGCGTTGTGGCGGCGCACCGGGCCACCTCCCAGGGGGCAGTTGAGCGCGCGAACGCAGCGGACGTCCACCGCGCGGCCACGCGCCGGGCCGGCCTGCGCCACCGCGCGAGTGGGCGCCGCCAGCCGGTTCTGGCACGTGCACTCGGACTGCAGCAGCGGCAAATGCATGCGCCTCTTGGCCGCAATGCAGAACGCGCGGTCGGCGAGGGGCGAAACCCCCTCGAAGTTATCCAACCAGGCGCCCGCTGAACTGCCCGAGGCGCTGTGCACCGCCGCCGCCGCCGTCGCCGGCAGCGCGGCCAAGAACGTCTTGGTGGCGTGGTCCCGTACATGCTGGGTGTACGTCTTCTGGTCCTTGCCCCTCCGCCCTTCCAAGAGGCCCTGCCAACGGTCACCCTGGGGGCGACGGCCTCCTGCCAACCGCCCCTGC